GTATACAGTTGCTAATATCTAGTTATTTCATTTACCTAACCCTACATATATATATATATATATATATATATATATATATATATATATAAGATATGTGGTGCAGTTCAATTTATATTACAATGAATCATTCATACAAAAAGTAAATTAGTAAAGTTACAAACTTGTAGAGCATGCAGTTTGTATTCATTATCAATAACACATTTAAAAAAAAAAAAACATATTTCGATTCGCATTATATTTTTTCATCTTGGATGCTACCTGAATTTTACCAAAAACAAAATAATTTCCATGCCTGAAGATGACTGAATGCACAGTCAAAAGTACTTGCGTATTTAAGAAAGACCTTATACAGCATACAATTTTTAAAAACAAAGATCATAACATTCATCAAGCAATTGGTAGGTTAATGCATCTTTAAAATTTTATTAGTGAAGTGATTTCACCATTTTATATCATTAACTTTACTAATTTATTTTTGTATGAATGATTCATTGTAATATATATATATATTATTCACAGTTCCAACATTAATATACATGATGAGGGAAGAAAGTCCTTGTCTCAACACATTTTTAAAAATCTAACATCAGATTTTAGGGGAAAGGAATTCTTGCTTGAGCTGATAGTGTTTCAACAGTCCTCTTGTAATATAAGTAGTAGACTAAGTGGAGATTTTTGTGTACCCCTGGGTACTAGGATAGATCACCAAAGTTCCTGACCTGCGTAAATAAGTATTAAATTTAGTAAACCAGGGGAGATCACTCTCCGGCCTGCAAATACATTCAGAAACTAATTAAGAAGGCAGTGCAAAACCGAGTTCTCGGACTGATCACCCCTTGGCTTATTCCACATCTCTAGCAAGCTCTCCAGCCCAAACAGCTTTGCTACAACTAAATCTATACCAAGATAGTGTTTGCATACACTCAAAAAATGTCCATTGTTACATTGTACAGTAGGAAGGATCACTTGATTCAAGAAAGGACTGTATAAGACATCAGATGGCCACAAACACCTCCATGGTACAACAAACACATATTGGCAGCAGATGGCACAGAATTTAGTTCTTCTCTTGACCAATGATTTTGACTGCTCTCGAGGATAACTCCCCAAAATTTTGGAAACTGAAGATAAGGAACCTCTATGCCAGGGTTTCCCAACCTAGGCAACATCACCCATTGGTTGGTGATTATATCTGCTGGGTGGGTGATATAGGAATTTGAGTATTCAGAAGGTATTTCAACAGCTACTCGAAAAATATATTCAGATACTCAAAGGACTTATATAATTAAGAAACTAAAAAACAGGAGGCTAAGTGGTAATAAACGGGTCACATTCCTAGATAAAATTATAAATATCCCTGCAGACAACAAATAATTTTTTTTTTCTATGAGAAGGGTCATTAACATTCAAATTGTTCTTCAGATGAAATAAAAAAATTTTGGGATATAAATCAGATAAAAGAAGACCAAGAAATAAATATTCTCTGAATTTTTTCTTAGTTGCTTTTAGCATATATTCTTTTTAGTTTTATAATTATGAACAAAAATTGTTTAATTTTTAGTCATCACTTGCAACACCAACCCTAATTATAAAACTAAATTATATAGTGGAACCTTGGTTCACAAATTTAATTTGTTCCTGAAGGCCGTTTGTAACCTGAAACTATTAAATGTAAAGAAAAAAAGTCACAGTACAATAAAAGAAAAGAAAAAAAGCACAACACAACACACAAATGTAGACAACACAGCAGTCAACTCAGAAATTATTCCGTTTGGGTTAACTCAGTTCAGCTATGTTGTTCAAGAACCAAAATTTTCTTTGATGGCTGAGGCATTTTAATCTCAAATTTTTCTATTCAAAAACCAATTTGCGTTCATTTGTTCTTTAATACAGTAGTAGTAGCAGTTATTTGTTACCTCCCTTTGATATTTTTGATGCCATCATAAGATCAGTATACAAACCAGTAAGAAACTTTTACCAAACAATTTTGGTTTGCTTTTGAATATTTACTATACAGGTGGGCGGTGGAAAAATGATGTAAAAATGGGTGGGAATCCCTGGTCTATGCAATTGTGCAGCAGCAGCCAATGAAAATCCACTTCAGGGAAGTGACTGTGGGACAGCTCATATTGTTGATTGGAAAGTAAATATATGGCTACTTTGAACACCTCATCACAAATTTAAAGGGGAGGAGCCTACCAATGTTTGTTTGACCGAAAGGAGTCTATAAAACTTGCAAGAGAGACACAATGCAGAGATACTACACTTCTGACCGCAGGTAGGCAGACAGTGCTTGTGAAGCATGTCTGCAATCTGCACCTCAATTACTGCTTTGGTCATGTTCTTGTATATGTTCCTAGGTCTGGATCTCAAAAAAGGCAAACCCTGGGCCTGTCTCAGGGCAACAGATTAACTTTTTACACCATCATCCCATAACCATCAAAAAAGACAGTGCACCAAAAAAATTTTACACCGTCCCAAAATCAAACTGTTGTTTTAATTTTGTCATTCATTCTTTAATAGTTGTTAGTGGCATAATAAAAACACCTTTAAAATAATTAGAAATCAAATTTAAAAAGGGCAAGATATTAACGTTTTAAAAATGAATAAATACAAAAACATATTATTTCAATTTTATTGTAATTTAATAAAAATCACATTAAACATTTCAGTTAAATCACCTTGAATAATTTTACCCAAAAATATTCTTATTAATTAATTTTCAGGCTTGGAGTAACTTTTTAATTTCAAAATTTTGTTCTATGCATTCATTTTCTATATAATATATATATATATATATATATATATATATATATATATATATATATATAGTTAAACCTAAAAATCCAGACAAACCTTGGTACGTTTTGTCTGGCTCTCTAGGTTTAACTAGGTCCTTTATTTAGTTATTTTGCCTACTTGTATCAGGGTATTTTTTTCTTTGGGCTTTGGACTTGCATGCTAGATGATTATTTTCAGCTAATGTACATGTTCTTGGTTCTTTCTTTTTTTATACCTTTTTTTCCCCTTTGGTATTGGTTTGATTATTCACAAATCAAGACACTGAAGGTTTTCCGAACGAGTATAATTTCTTATACTTATAAGATTATTATAATAAATATATATATATATATATATATATATATATATATATATATATATATATATATATATATATATATATATAAGTAATTGTGCATTCCAATTATTCATAATCAAAAAAGATTTTAAACTATTTATCAAAAAAATTTTGTTTACAATTACCTACCTCATGTTGGGACTAAATGTGTGTTTATCGTTTTTTAAATTATCCCTTTTTTTCCAATTTACTTTATGATGAGCAGAAAATTTGACGCAAATGTTTGTTAAGGATTCATTCAAATTTTTTTTTTATCCAAACATCAACAGAAAAATATAATTTCCTTGTTTTATTTCTTAAAGCAATATTATTTTCACATTTACAGATAAATAATATAAATATCTAAATTAAGTCCATCAAACCTCATTTTCAGTCAGATTTTATTCATCTGTTTAAAAAAAATATGTGTGCACCCAATTTATTAAATACCCAGCATTATTGGTGAGAAATAAGAATTTGTTTTTATTTTAAGAAATCTGTTGCATTTAGAATAAATTTATTAGAATTTTAATTTAAAATTTTGTATCATTTTAGCATCAACCCATAAAACCTAATTCATTGTCCCAAATTAATGTTCAATCCACCCCAGGAAGATGTTAATTTCAAACTTATATGAAGAAGGTGATGGTGCTCTCTCCATACTGCCTCTTCTGGTTGTAGTAAAAGTCATATATTAGGTGGTTTGAAAGATCCAAGTTGCTCATTCGACAATAAAGAGGACAACTGAAAACCAAATCATTCTTGCAGACTTTGATCTTGCCCTATGCATGCATATATATATATATATATATATATATATATATATATATATATATATAATGGACTCTCTCATCAGTTTCGACATCTTAATTGATTCAGTTATAAAATTTTGTGTGATAATCTTAAGTGGCACTTAAGACCTGCTAGTGATTTACAAAGGAGGCCACATATGGAGCAAGAGTGAGGATTGTGAGATGAGATCACTGTTAGATTGGTTGACCTTTTAGATCTTGCTCTCACTTCTTGAAGATGATTCAGACAAGCAGATTGAAAACTGCTGTGCACTAAAACACATTGATCTCCATTCTACCCGCTCCAAGGCTAAGCGCTCAAAGGTGTTATGTGGTATATTGACAGCTGACAAATTATATAGATGAAAGAGAGTGATCATCAGACTATGGTCTTTTGAAATTCAAAGCCGTCATCAATATTGCAAAAGTGATAACACCTAATTGTTGATCAAAACTAAATGAGATTTGCTGATCTTCCTAAGATCAATCCACTCAGATATCCAAATGTTAACATCAGATTCATGACCCATGCCTTGTATACATTCTTTGCACCTTTTCACCATTAACAACAACCTAGCTAATCCTACAGATATTCATTCTTGTAACTTTTTTTGTTTTGTTCTCATTTGAATGTTGAATGTGCTGGTCAAGAGTATATTCATTTTCTATATTTTTTTTTATTGTTTATATTTCTTCAAAACGCAGACTTGTCATCGGGTATTTGTTTTCCTAGATATGTCACTCACAAAATATAAGAAAATGCTACTAAAATATACAATCAACTCAATACATTATAAAAGTTTTCTAGGGAATTTACATGATTGACATTATTTAATCAAGTAATTATCATTTTTTCAAGAATATAAAATGCTAAAAAAAATTATTTTTTTAGCATTTTATATTCTTGACAAATGACAAAAAAAAAATGCTCTTGTTTTTTTTTGTTTTTTTTTTGTTTTTTGTTGTTGTTTTTTTTTAGATATAAATTTAAATTTTGCAAAATGTCAATATAAAAACAGATATTTGGAGATTCACATAAAAATAAGTTCCAAAAAACAAATTATTTTTTGTTTTCTTATTATGTTTTTCAGAAAACCTTCAATTAACTGGTTCTTTTAAGATACGTGGCGCTTTTAACAAAGTTTGTCTCTTAAAGGAGAAAGATGCCAATATTAGTAAAAGAGGTGCTGTGTCCGCATCAACAGGGAATCATGCATTGGCTTGTGTAAGTGTTATGGTTAAAAGAATTTCTTGCTTTCAAAATTATTTGAACATTTTCAAAGAAATTTGTAAAGAATTCACTTATTTTGGTAAAATTATCCTTGTTTAAATTTTAAGAGATTAACATTGAGTTATTGTAAAGAATTTTTCCAGGCCAGTTTTTTTCAAAATGGTTGATATCCAGCTGAGATTATTTACAGATAATTAAAAAAAAGTAATGGAACAGGTGTGAAAGTATTGAGCACAAAAGTGAACAAGACTCAAAACTGAGAAATTTCTTTAATAGTCAAACAAAATAAACTGAAATATGTTGGAAATGAAAAATGGTCAGCAATTTTATTAGGGATTATTTTGTTGTTTTTTTTTTGTTTTGTTTTTTTCAAAATTGTTTTTTTTTTAAATTCCAGTACACCATTGATTTTCTGACCTTCATAGTTCCAAAATCTTTGGGAAATCAAGAGTTTTAGATTTAGGTCAATTAAATAATTGCTTAATACATGTGACGCCCTAACCCCTCCCCCCCACCACCACCACCATTATAACATAATTCACAATTCTTCCTTTCTTAGTTGTTCTAATGTTACTTTTTTTTCTTAAAATAGAACTTCAATATTTTCTATCTTTGTTTTCTAACAGCAAAAAAGGTCAATAAATCAATATTTACAAACATTTTGATGAGTTTTCTTTCATCTATTTTTCTTTCATTTTTATTATATTTCTTTAAACCAATCAGCTGCAAGAATTTCAAATACTGAAATCACATTAGACAAAACTTTGAATTACATACACCTTGGCTGCAGAACATGTGAGATTTGCCAATTGATAAAGCAAGCTTCTACTCTGTACTTTTCTCTAGCTAATAAGAAATTTAGTAATAAAACTCAAAAAAAAATAAACAAAAGAAAATTAATTATTTATTATGGTGACAATTGTTCATCTTGGAATCTCAACCCAGCTTGAGCAAATCAACACAAACACAGGTGGGTGGGGTGAAAAGTTCTTGGCCCCCATCTTTTCTTTCTTTTGTTATTGTTTATTGGAAAATTTGTCAATTCCATTTGTTGGGCTTTTCTGCCAATTATAGTAAACCATGGCCAATTACTCTACAAAAATAAATAATTCAGTTATGTTTTTACAAACAAAAAGTAAAAAATTCCCCAAAGTTTCAATCAAAGAATATTAAACTACTTTTGGACAATCTCCCAAACAAAATTAGATTTAGAACCTCCACCACCACCCACCCAACAAAAAACTAGGTTAGAGTCAAAATTCTTTTCAAATCCAGTTTAAATCTTCAAATCTGAAAGAAAAAAGAATAGCAAGTTTCTGAGATTTTTTTGATTTTTTTCTAATAATTTTAATCATAATTTTAAGCCCGTTAAGGTTTTGATGAAAATATCTAAGTTAAAGATTGAAGTAGATTTCTTTAGAAATGTCCTGTTTTTACTCTTATCAGATTCTTATATTTGATTGTTTTCAATTTTTATTTCTTTAGACTGAAGCCATGAACCAACTTGGTGTTCCTATTCGAGTGTTTGTTCCGGAAAATATTTCCTCTGCCAAACATGAACGGCTAAAAGTCAACAATGCAATTTTAACTCTTCATGGCCAAGATTGTATTTTTGCAGAGAATGCGGCACGTAAATATTCTGAAGTAAGCAATAGCATTTGCACGATTTGCATACATTTCTCTGTGTGTTAAGGAAATCTCTGTGAACACACACACACACATATATATATATATAAACTAAATGCAATTTTTATGACTTAATAAGTCATCTTCAAATGAAAATCTAACATCTCTACTCACATTTCTTGTAAATAAATAACACATTGTGTCTTATTTCAACACATGATTTAAACTCTTCAAGTCATGAGTGTAATAAAGGGAGTTCCATTAAGACGGATCAAAGTCAGCAGTAAATAAATCAGTGTTATTGGTGAAAATTTATTTATTTCTCTATTGGATCATGTTGTTTAAGTCATGGCAATTATGTGTGAAAAATAATATCGCCCAAATGTCCGCCAAGGCTTCAGCGGCACACCTCCACTCGATGGTCAAAATTTTTCATGAAGTCTCTGCATATTTGCACCTCGATCTCACCAATATGCCTTATTATTTCATTCTTCAGCTGTTGAATTGTTGTTGGCATAGACCTTACTTTTGAGATGACCCCCAAAGGAAAAAATCTAAAGGCGTCAAGTCACACGATTGTGGTGGACAATTGACTTCGCTGTTTCAAGAGATGATGCGACCTGGGAACTTCTCATTCAAATTCTGTTTGAACGTCCATTTTCGTAATAGGCTTCAATAAATACAATACACATTGTTTGATTGTTAATCTTTCCATGGTTGAATTGCCAAAACTTAAGTTACTAAATCTGAAAGAAAAAGAAAAAAAATCATTACACGCTTAAAATTAATTCACATTTAAAATCAGTCCAAGTTACTGGAACACCCTTTAGAATCCATATTTTGTTTATCAACTTTATTCTTCAAAAAATAAAGTATAATTACATTTTATGCAGTTCTATATTCACCATTATTTGCAATTATGTATTGTCACTTCTCAAGCAGATCTTCTATGCCTTTTGAATAAAAATTTGCTGGTTTTGCTGTAAAAAAATTTTCGAGAAACTCTTGACTCTGATCTTAAAGAAAGCTCCCTTCATCAAAGCATTTTTGCAGTGATCGAAAAACGTAATAAAGGTGAGATGAATATATGCAGGTACATATGGTGGAGCAGTTAGAGGAGACCAAACTGAGTTCAAAATTTTTTCCTGTGTTGTTTTTGCTGTATGCATCTTTGCGTTTTCATGAAAAAGGACATGTTTCCTTTCATCCACTGCTGTACAAAAACTAAAGTGTATTAGTGTACTCTAAATTTGTTTGTAACTATCAGTAATGATTAGTCGTTAAGATGGTACATTCATCAATTAGTTCCCTAAAACTGAAATTACTTACAACTTAATGTAATATTTTTCATCTGCATAATTTATTTCTTATGAAACAACTCTGGTTATAAAATCCTTACCGTATGGATGACATAAACATGTAAGTCCATATATGCAAGATGAATTCAGACAGATAGCCATATTGAGGCTACACTGCAAAGAAATTCACCTTCAATGTACGGGCTATGTTATGAGGGAGATTCTCCTGATCGGAGAACTAGTGAAGACAGGCCACACAGAAGAGATAGACACCTTAAAAAGGACCTTCATCTGTAGAATCAAGTAACATCAATGACTGACCAAAGCAAATCACAGAGCAAGACAAGAAAAGGTGTCAACATAAAATGGACACTGCCAGACAATTCTACTGCCATCAAAGCAACTGCAAAAAACATGGCAAACACTTCAAAATCTTCATTTGTGAGGCTAAAGAACATTACATATATATATATATATATATATAGTCGTTCACAGACAGACTGTTTCACTGTATCATAGCTTCTTATTGTGGCTAGACGCCTGCTTGCTTCAAGCCAGGATCGAAACCCGATTAATTTGACATCAGTCAGATATCTTACCCCTAGGCCATTGTTGCACAGCAGAAAGGAAAGGAATTTTAACGTTTTTCTCAATGCGAAATATGCTAGTGGCTCGGAGAACTCAATTCGTACTTGAAGATAATGCTTAATAGCAGTAATTTCCAAAATGTTTCACCTGTGTATTTTATGGTATGTCAATATAGATAGCATTCTCAATTTTATAAAATATTTTATTAAAAAATATAATGAAATTGACCCATTAATACCAACCATCCCATTTTTGGGACAGATGTCATTAATGGTTTAGAGCAGTGTTTCACACATCCTGGGTATGACGATAAACTACATCGGCATCCTGGGTAAGACGATAAACTATATCCAACAGCAAAGCCTCTGATCAGGATGCTTTGAGGAGCTGGGAACCACCTCTTAACTGCTGGTGTTCCCAGGTTCACCCTGACCCAGAGTGATAGTAGCTGTTAGGGTCCCAGCTATAGGCAAATAGTTAATCCCCAAACTGGGGTCAAAACACTGAAAGTGTAAAAATAGCAATATATTTTTGTAAAAAATTATTACCATTTAATGAATTTTTTGAAAAAATATTATAAGCAATGAATTTTTGAAGGAAAAAAATATTAGCAACAATACATTTTTGGAACAAAATATTACCAGTAATACAGTTTTGAAAAAAAAAAAATATATTTACAGCAATAAAAATGTTGTTGACATTAAATAACCCATTGGGGTTGATATACTATAAAAAAAAAACCAAACCAAACCAAAACAGTGATTCTCAATTTTTTTTTTAAGGCACAGCACACAGAACAAATGAAAATATTACAGCATCCTTAACAAAATTTTTAAAGAGTATACATTTAAATGTCATGAAATAAAACCAGAGACTTAAGAAAAATATACACACAAATATGAATTTATTTTATTTTACTGTTTCTATTCAACTATTTGTGCAGCTGATTTAGTGGAAAACCTGTGCCTGGTGTTTTTTGTGATTTCTTCAATGTTTGGTCGAAAGTGCGATAAACAGATTCTCATTTCTTCTTCAAATCAGTCAAGTCTTTTCTCACTTTTTATTTTTTTATGTTATTAAGCAGATTGTGTCGCAAATTAGTGTACTGTGGCACTACAGTTTGAAAATCAGTAGACTAGAGGTAGAAACCTATAATTAATACTGGATTTTTGTTTATAACAACAAATTTTATGTTGGAAATTAATGTACTAATAAAAAAAAAAAGGCAAATTTATTCATATTAATTTTGTTAATTTGTATTCAGGAAATTAAAAAAATTACAGTTACAAATTCACAAATAGAAAAATTTATTTATTATAATTATTGATATTACACTTTCTTTTTTATTTGTAGGAAAACAAAATCCCGTTTATCTCCCCTTACAACGATACTGATGTAGCTGCTGGTCAAGGAACAATTGGGTAAGTCAGGGAAGGATTCTTTCGGAAGTCTGTCCCACAAGACATGAAGGAAATGGGGGATGATTTACTACAGTTAACATGGCATGGTTGGCCCAAGCTGTGAAGAGCTAAACTGGTGGGGACTAAGGAATGTAACTTATTTGAATATTTACTATAGTAGTAGCAATAGAGTAGTGAGTGGTATGTTCATGGGTCAGGAAAAGTTCTCGGGTTGACTAAAAAAATCTTTTCCAAAATAATTCTGATTTTTCATCTGGCCAGATTTTTGAGCCAATAACTTTTCAGCGCCCCTTATATAGTGTCCAAAAAATGTAGAACTTCTCTTAACTTGTCTCTAGGCTTCATTTATTGTCCATGTTTGCAATAACATTTGTATAGAAATTACTTTTTCTTACATATATAAGTCAGTTACTGTCTATTTCCAAAAACCAATTTTCAACTTAAAATGTTGAAATATTACAGACTTCTTTGTATCTATTTGCACTATTTACATTGTTTGGACCGTTGTCCTCATCTCCAGGCCACTCAGTGATGTCGTCAGTCCATTCTGTCCCCCCCCGTCTACCTCTCTGTCTTTTGCCTCGGATGGCAGTAGAAAGATTATTAGCTCTTATGACATGACTGTATTATTTCAACTTTCTCTTCTTCATAGTGGATATAAGAGATTCTAACAGACTTGTATCTGATGTCATTTGTGAGGCAGTGCATGTAGAAAATGTCCAGGACAGTTCTGTAGCATCTCATTTCTAATGTTTAGATTCTTTGCTGTAATTCTGCATTTAATGTCCAAGATTTGCAGACATCCAGAAACATTGAGCTGACCAATGCACATAACAGTCTGCTCTTTGATTTCAAGCAGATGTTCTTAGTTTTGGGACAGCTACCATTGTTTGTGCTGCTCTTAAAAATATTCCTATTATGGAGCCCTCATTGCTGACAATTAAGCTAAGATATTGAATTGGCTCACTATTTTAAGTTCCTGACTACTGACTTTTATCTTGGTTGAAAGCTCTTTCTGATTGTTCATCATGAGTTTTTGTATTGGTGTGGGGGGGGGGCATTAATCTCCCTGCCATATCTAGAGGATGGTTCCTCCATGTCCTTCACTGAGCTGACAATCATCCTGGGCATGATAATAAACTACATCTCTGTCCTGGATAAGATAATAAACTACATCTGACAGCAAGCACTCAGGAGGTTATGAGAAGCATGGAACCATCTCTTAATTGCTGGTGTTCCCATGTCCACCCTGACCTGGGGTGATAGCATATGCCAGGGTCCCAGCTATGGGCAAATAGTTAACCCATACAAAAGGGGTCAAAGTACTATGAAAGTATAAAAATAGGTTTTAATACCAGCAATACTTTTTTTTTTTTTTAATTATTACTAGCAATACATTTTTGGAAAGAAAAATATTACCAGCAATACATTTTTAGAACAAAATATTACCAGCAATACAGTTTTGAAAAAATATTACCACCAATACATTTTTTTGTGGAAAAATATTAACATTTAAAATTTTGTCAGTATTAAATAACCCATTGAGGTTGATATGCCATAAGACAAAGCAAAGCAAACCAATATATATTTAGATACACAGAAAGAAAATATTGTTGAATTATCAATGACTGTCAGTCTGCCAAGAGTTATCTGCTCTTAGTTTTGGTTATCTCCTCTTTTCTCTTTTTTACACAGTCCCTAATGTAAATAAAGCGTTCACCTCATACATGTGTTAAGTAAAACATGTCTATATGGTTTTTATTAAATTTGTCTTCTTGTCTGAAGTATCAAGTCTAATCAAAACAAAGTATGTTTCGATCTGATTGATTCTTGACTTTATAATTTTCCTTTTCAAATATTACCAGCAATAAAAATCTTGTCAGTATTAAATAACTCATTGGTTGTGATAAGCCATAAAACAAATCAACCCAATCTGACAAGTTCCTTTTTTGCTATCTGTCATCTGCAGAGCATTGTATACTTGTGTATAATATATAAATTTTGTTTGGTTTTATTTTTTTACTGCTGTTTAAACATCTCACTCTTCTTTCAAAGATGCTTTTATGTTGTTCTTTACCACTTGTTACTTACTACCCTTTTTACTAGCTGTGTTAATATTGAGAAGAGAAAAGCTTTTCTTACACTCACTTAGCTAACTACATTATTGCAGAGTGACGTCATGATGACTGAAATAAGTCATATTTTGCTCCCCTTTACAAATGGTGAACTCTAAAAATATTCACTTGTAAATGATTCTGACATAGTCTATTATGACTGCACAGCCAATAGCAGCAATAAAAGCTGCTACATCCATTGTCATCTAACAACTTCCCATATTTATCATGTACTTATACAACTCATCGTTGAGAAAAAAATTGTTTATTGAATGTTGCAGAATAGAAATCTTTGAAGACTTACCAGATGTAGACAATGTGTTGGTTCCTGTGGGAGGAGGAGGGCTTATTGGTGGAATAGCTGCTTACCTGAAAGGTGTCAATCCAAAAATCAAGGTAAAACAGAAATATGAAATAAAAATGTCCCCTTGTTTTCTTACCTTAATCTAACAGACACATATTTATTTTTCTTACCTTAATCTAGCAGACACATATTTTAATATACACGCATTGCAGACAATATCTTTGCTACATGTAATATTTATCATAAATTTCATGAATCCATTTCCTAATAATATAAGATCAACATTAGTAATCAAAATTAATACCTACTTGTAGATCTTACCTACTTACTTAACTGCATTAATACCAAATTACCTACTTGTACATCTTACCTACCTATTTTTTGATTATTCTACATTACTTACATGTCTTCAAAGTGAACATCATTTCTCTGTTCTTCTCATACTTTGCCGCTTGTTAATAATATTGGCGTTTGATTAAAATCTTCAGGTTTATGGCTGCCAACCTATCCAATCAAAAGTTATGTATGAAAGCATCAAAGCTGGTTCTATTATATTTGAAGAATCTGGGGACACATTGTCCGATGGAACGTCTGGAGGAATTGAAGAAAATTCCGTAAGTATTATCAAATGAGAAAATGAAAATTTTACTTTTAGAGTAAAACTGAACATAAAAACAATTCTGTTTTGCAAGTTTTATTTTTTATGGGACAAGACCACAATTGTATGAGCATCAAATCCTTTACTGAGATCAGCCTTAATGAAATTAGCTCAACTTATTTTTGCGGGTTGGGGGTCACACCCAGAAAATGTCAGCAGCAGGCAGCAGCAAAATGAATGTAAAAAAAAAAACAATTACAGTAACATAAGATGCATTTCTGCAAGAGGCTAGGAGGAAAAGATTTGTGAATTTTAAAATGAGAAGAGAGATATATGAACATAGATAGTTTATCAATACAGCCTCTCCTCACTTACTGACTTACACGTTTAACGACCACCCAGACTTACGACAGGCCCTATTAACTGCCACTGGTAATGTACAATATGATACACTGTATGTATCTTCATGAAATCACTGAAAAATGAGCATAGTATAATAAAAACGGCTTTAAACTTGATGAAAACTAAATTTTATCATCAAAAGGTTTATGCTACTATTAAGAGTGTTTTTTAATTATTTTATTATTTTTTTCCATCCTTTTTAGAACATTCTAACTTTTGATTAAAAAAACCTTGTTTCTCTTTCTCAGAGAGACTAATAAAATAACAGCAAATTTTAGCACCTTTTTTTTTTGCAATGACAGATATTAATTTGGAAAAAATAATACCCTGAAATTTCATAAATGTACATAAAATTATACTATTATGTACCTTTCTTATGAAATTTTATCTCACTCAGCAGTTATGTTTTAATTTTTTTTTTGTTAATATTTTTAATTTTTCCTTAAAGTATCAACAAATGTAAGGTGAAAGCTGAAGTACTTAAAAAAAAAAATTAAAAAAATATTAGACTGTTGAAAATTTTTCTTTCTTTAAAAATTACAAGGTAATATTACAGTACAGTACAATATGTAAGAGTTTATTTTTGTACATAATTTTTGCTTATTGCATCCATGCTTTGAACCATATTAATATGTAATGATTATGCAAAGTTATCATCAATCATTGTTTGTCTGTCAAAGTTATCAAGTTGGAATTTCCTTTTGTTCATTGTATTTTCCTGTTTTGAACAAAATGTAAAGATTATGCAAATTAAAACAAAGTTATTGAGTTTTTGTTTCCTTTAAACCTTTTCTTTATTATCTTATTAGAGCCGTAGGAATGGTTGCAATGGTGCCATATTATCAAAGGTGTTGGATATCCTTGATATCATGAAAATGTGAAATATTAGTATAGCTCCTCACTTACTGACCAATTCGTTTATCAACCTGGTCAATGGAACAGAACTTGGTTATTAAGTGAAGAGAGGTTGTAACATAGATTATAAATAACATAGATAATTTATAAATAACAGATATAAATAAGATAGCTAGATATGAATAGGATAGATGTGAACAACCTGAGATAAATAGGTATGAATACTTGAAGATAGATATCAACAGACAAATAAAAACAATAGCTGCTGCATTGTTTAAATTGTACATTTAGTAAGTAGAAATCCACACACACCAAATGTGTAGCAGATATTTTCTTTAATATTTTTAATGATTTTTTTTTTAGGTGACCTTTGAACTCTGTCGCAATTATGTCGATCATTGGCTCCTAGTGGAAGAAGAACATATTGCTAAAGCCATTTATTTTATGTTATCCCACCACCATATGGTGAGTAACATTTTTTTCTTTGTTGCTTATTCTGAGTTTGTTACTGAAAGAGTTACCTGCCCTTAGACCAACTCAATACATGTCACCAAATTATCTATCTTCCAATTAGTACCTCCCCTCTCCTCTACGTTGTCCTTAAACGAGAGGACCAACGCATTCGCAGAGCCACAACGGTCAGAGAAGGCACTATAATCATTTTCTTTTATATTAAAATGAACTTTGATTGGGTTCCATGGTACATTCTGTATTCTAGAAATATTTTGAATGAAAGTTTTAATTTTATTAAATTAGTTCTTATAAAAATTCAAACTAAGCATGTCAGCATTTTCACTAATTAAGCCCCTTGTATTTTTTTTTTTTTTAAACAGATGATTGAAGGAGCAGCTGGAGTGTCCCTTGGTGCTTTCATGACCAATATGGACCAATTTGCTGGGCAGAAAACGGTTATTATTGCATGTGGTGCAAATATAAGCATGGAGAAATTGAAAAAAATTATCCAAATGGAAGAAGAGAAAATAATTTAGGAAAATCTTTAAAATCCTTTTCTGCTTCATGTTACAAAAACCTTCTTTTTTTTTTTTTTATTTTCAATGTCAACATTGAAGGCAAAAAAAAAAAACTCAATTACTCCAAAATTTTCATTTGATTTTCAAAATTTTAACAAAATTTGAAATGGTCAGGTTTTTTGTCGTGATTTATTCATTTTCAAGGAGTATAAATGGTTATCATTATCTTCAAGGGTAAAATTCTCAATTGTTGATAAACTTGTTGAGTTAGCTATATAAATGCTATCAGGATCCAATCGGATGAAAAGTCATGCAAATTTCTGTTAAAATAATCAAACAAGTGATATCAGCCTCAAAATAATTACCTGTATTCCAGGCTCTCTAACTCTAAAAGCTCTGAAATTATGGGACTATTTTCAGTAAATTTTATGTGTAGTATCACATTAAAAAAAAAAGGTGAGAAGAATTTTTGCAACTTTTAAAATGGTAATATAATAAGACTTTTTGTAAAAATCAGAAATGATTGACTGAATATATTTTGATAAAATAATATTTCAATTCATTTTTCACAGATTTGAATCTTTCATTTTGACATCACAATTTTTAGCTATTGCATTTTACTTTGGGCTTTATGAGTAGTAAACTTTGATAGAATTTTTAATGCTATTTTTATTTCTTTTATTGTGTCTGAGCAATAGTACTTGGAGATTTACAAAGCAAGTCCTTTTTCTTTGTTCTTCTGTGCTATGCAATCATTTCTTTCTTTGAGAGATTTGTATGTGCCATAAAACGATATTAGCAAAATTAAGTTTGATAGATTTAATCATTCTGATATTCATTTATTTCATATATGACATTTTGTAATAATTGTTGTATTGTGTTGTTCTACGACATGTGATCATCAGTAGTCAAGTTCCACCTGTCTCTTACTTTACTATACAATTTATTTCTCTTCTACTTAAATCCTATTTATCAACCCACTACAATAATATCATTTATTAGTTTTTCAAAATATAATATTAAAAATGTTAACATTATTTACTTCTCTTTACTCTAAAGTTGTGACTTAAATGCTTAAGTGGTTACCACGTTCAGAGCAGAAATAATCTTATTAAAAAAAACTAAGCAATTTACTTACAATAACCATCTACGACACAATTGCTTATTAATAAAGGTCATAAAAGAGAATAAATGAATAACAAAATGCATTATTTTTTTAATTTGGGTTTTAAAGCTGAATATGAAAATTAATTGTATTTGTGAAATAAGGAGCACTAAATTGGACAAGATGTAAGACACTTGCAGGGTGATATAATGGTTAAAACTGCACAGTTTTACATATTTGTGCACACACAGACAACCAACTTTATAAGCTTATGGCCATATTATGTTGAAACAACGTTTCCCATATGATCGCTGAAGTTAAGCACCATCAAACGTGGTCAGTAATTAGATGGGTGACCGCTTGGGAATACCAGGTGCTGTAAGCTTGGATGCGCATGTTGTGTAATGGACAATGTTGGAGTTGCTAATCAGAGAACTGAATTCCAATTCCAGTTGGGTTTGTTATATTCACTTACATGCAAATACTCTTTGGAAAAATATGAATCCACCTCTCCTCCCTATGCTAGGGGTTAATTAGTAAAACTTGTATCACTAAATCATTATTATCTCAAAAAAAAAATAATAATTTTTATAATCTAAAAATATTTTCTGGCCTTAAAAAACCTGCAAAGGGTTGATAAGCCATAGAAAACAAATCGATTGATCAATCAATCAACCAAATTTATATATTTGATTTTCAGGGTTTTGAGCAAACACACACACTTGATATATTAGATGATGTCATAATCGATTGGCTTTCTTTCCTTAAGGTAAATTAGAATTATCATATGAAAATTAAATTTTAGTAAATTATAATTATAAAAAATAAATTTGATAAATTAATCTTTCTGAATATGCAAAAATAAACCTGCTCAAATAGAATTTAAGAAGGCACTAATTGATTAGCATTATAATGTTAAAGGAATCCCAAATAAAAATGGATTTTTGAGTAACAGTAAATACAAGATAAAAAAAAAAAATAAAAGCAGAAAATGAAATTAAAACAAATAAAAAGAAATTATAATCAATTTTCAAAGTATTTAATCATAAATTTGGTATTTTAAAAAAATAAAAAGTGGAACCCATTAAAGAAAATTACTTTCAAATAATTTCCAGATTATCTGCTCTCCAAGGTCAGGGGTCGTGGCATAGGAACAAAATTGAGTCAGAAATAAAATAGTATATCATTGGAAAACGAAATTTTCTAACTTTTTTTTTTTTTTGGAGGCGGGGGATTATTCTAAAAATAAATACCGTACTATTTTTTTCTTAAAAATGTACAATTAAATTTTGAATGAATTACAGCAATTACTTTAGAATAACAATTTTATTTATTCATTAATTTCCTTCTTATGAAATTTTTCCTTCAATTCCTCTAATTACCTCTATACGATTGAATATTTTCTGAGCCCTCAAAAAATATGTCGTTTTTGCTAAATTCATAAGAAAAAAATAATTGACTGCTGATAGTGGCGGAGGAAGGGGAAATGCTTTTGATTCCTGTTTCCAAGGGAAGTCACTCTGTTATAAAGAAAACTATTAGTACGAGATTATTCAGTGCCACGTGACCGGAAGTAACTGTTCGTTCTCTCGCTCCATGCTGTGCAAATTTCGAGAGGAAAACAAAAGACTTTGAAAAGACCAATATTATCTACACAGATAGCAATGAATGAAATAATAATCTCCAGCGATATTGACAGCAGTAATGATGCGGCGGGCACTACGTACGTTTGGGACCTGAATACAGGCAACCCGCTGTCCTGCTACAAAGGGAATGCCGGTTCGACAGCAAGAGGACTTTGCATGTTGAAGAAGGACTTTCTGATTTCGGCCAGCCACAATCAACCCGAAATCTTATTATGGCTTTTGTCTAATACCAAAGGCGACCAACATTTGCCCACAAGAATGGAGGTTCTTTCAAAGATCTCTTCTCTTGCTGTATCGCCCGATGGACTTTATTGTATTGCAGGAGTTGCGGAAAAAATTTACGTTTGGTGCATCGCGACTGGTCAGTTACTTAACATCATACAAAAACATTACCAAGATGTCGTGTGTATTAAATTTGCTGATAATATGACGTTTGTTACCGGAGGTGAAGATAATTTAGTGATGGTGTGGTCCATGAGAGATATCCTTGCGCTTTCCGATGTCCATGGGACGAAAAATTCGAAAATCGAACCAGTTCGTGTTTGGCATGACCATTCTCTGCCGATTACAGACATTTACGTTGGGGCCGGGGGGATAAGAGGCCGCGCCGTGTCTTCATCTCTTGACCAGACCTGCAAATTTTGGGATTTGGCCACTGGCCGTCTATTGTGTAGCCTGAAATTCTCAGAGAGTCTTTTGTCTGTAACGATGAACATGGCAGAAAATCGTCTCTATGCGGGCGGCACCAGTGGAAAAATTTATGTGATGGACTTGTCCCAGGGATCAGCTAAGAAAACTGCTAAAGATCCCGAAGGTAACAAAACAAACTCTGATAAAAGCAAGTTTTATTTCTTGGGTCACACAAAACGCGTCACTTGTCTGTCCGTTTCTGCCAGTGGCCAGTTCCTTGTGTCTGGTTCTGACGATTGTACTATTAAAGTGTGGAACACTTCGACAGGACAGTGTCTTCGAACTTTGACCCACAAAGGGACAGTGACTAATGCATTTATAGTTCCTCTACCTCTGTCACTTCTCAGCTCCAAAAAAGGCCGACGACGGCACCCACCTGCGCTTATCAAACCGTTCGAGAAACAACTCCGGACAGATAATGTCGATTCCATTCTGATTCCTCCTCCTGTGCTCCCAGAAAGTAAAGTTTGTAGTCGATCTTATCCCTTTCAATCGGACATTTTCGCAGCAATCCTTTCCGGGGGTTTGAACTCGCGTCCTCACTCTGACGGATCAGGAGTTGATTTTGAAGAACAAAGTGCTCGAGAGAAAACTGAAATTATCAACCGACTTCAGAAAGAAATTAATCAAATCAAAGAAGCAAATGAAAAACTTTTTGCATTCTCAGTGGCACAAGTACTAAAATAAAACTAAAAAAAAACACTAGGACACCTTCTGTGTACAACATGATTGGTAAAAAATCCTATTTTAATCACGCTTATCAACCCTTATGCTTTAAACTATGGTATATAATTCTCTGAATTTTCATTATTTTAATTTGAGAAAAATCCAGTTTTTTATGATTTCGGAGAATTGAAAAGTCAAAATATTTGTAATTTTGAAAATACTAAATTTGCAAAACAACTGAAATTTATTATTCAGATGTTTAAAATAAGAAACTTCTACCAACTAAAAGAATCACTAAGTTTACTGATTTCTTTTTAAAATAGGTTGAAGCGGAATTAAATTTGGATTTTTACTAAAATATTTCATTTAAAATTGTTTCACTGATGTATGTTGTGGTTCACACAAGATGAATGATAAGATGTAAAATGCCTTAATGTGTGTGTAGTAAAATAAATACCAACAGTTTCTATTTGTCAGTTTCTTTCCACCCTTACAAATAAAATTGAAGCAAAAAATGTCAGGATTGACATTTTTACATTTTGTCAAAGCAAATCACATTTGATATTTAGCATTAATTTACTTTACTTGATCTGAAATTTCACAATCATTTCAAATTCTTTCTCCTTGGCATTCATTTTGAAATTTTCCTTTCTCTGTTGTCAACGCATTTCTTTTTAAACAACCAATTAAGGAAAATCGATAATTGCCTGATATTAAAAATTTTAAGGTTTTTATCACTGGATATAATTTTCTAACTCCCTGACACCACTTAAGGAAATTTTTACTGAATGTTTAAAAAAAAAAAAAAAACTTTATTCATACTCATTCTATTTTCATTAACAAGGAAATCCATTTTCATCTCCCCACCAAAAGATGGAAAAAAAAAAAAAAGCTTTAAAACAACTCTAAGAACAATATAAACTTTTTTTTCTTCGTGCTAATTCTTAACATTGGAAACTGTTCATGAGATAAATGGGGAAATTTAATTTCTCTGATGTAATTTTGAAAAATCATTTCTCAATTAAAATATTTTAGTAAAATTACACTTTGTAAGTCATTTAGAAAAAAAAAATAAAGATTATAATACTGTAGATATGACAACAGTCCCAGTTATGATAATGGGGCACCCAGTGAGGATCATTTTCTCTTGCATGATTAACCTTCTAACCATTTCTTTACAGCATATTCTCTATTCACAGATTAAGGTCAGCTCATTAATTCGCATCCCCAACTGATTCATATATTGTGTAGGGTTTTACGCGATTCTCTCCCTTGGTTTAGAGATCTCCATTTTTTTTTTTTTTTTTTTTTTTTTTTTACAAATGAAATTACTTGCTATATTTAAATATGTTTCTCAAATCTTTTTTTTCCGATAACACGAGGAGCATATTGTGAGAATCTTGGTGCACTGTTTATTTTTCCACAATTTTTTTTTTTTCTAACAATGAAGATAGAAGAAAATAACATGTCCAGCATATTTATGCTTTTCTTTATTTTCAGAAAAATACAAAATGAAAGATAAAAAATCATAAAACAAACCGAATATTTGTGCAGTTCATAAAGAAGGCACTCAGAAGGTTGAAACATGAAAAGTTGCAAAGTTTTATGCTTGATCTATTGTGGTCCAAGGAAAGGACTATTCTCTGCATTTTGGAGACATAAATGATTAAGATTTTGTCACTGAATGCTGCTCTATGGCCAGGTCGAAAGAAATCAACATTAGAATTGAAAATAATCAACATGATACACAGTCAATATACAAATGTCTAAATTAAGTGCTGAAAATTCATTTGCACCAGTTTGCATCTGGGTTCCATGGGGGGGGGGGGGGAGAAACTACTTTGCCATCCTGTAAAACTGCTCTCACAAGTAGTTTGTAACACATTGATACTTACCAGGCACAGGGATCCATCCCTGCACTGGTGGTATCACGGCTATGACTAGCTTGGACCAGCGGCCCTTGGCTCTCCACATTAAAAACCGACCTTGTGTCACAACCTGATTTAGAGGTGGTGGGGAGGTCAAGTAAATACAAACTACTTTGCTATCTTTCAATGTTTTGTTTGGAAAGAAATTGAAAAGTGGAGACTTTTCAACACTAGAAAATACGAAAAGGTCACATGGCATATGAAATGAACGACCAGTCTTAATATTGAAAAGAGACTCTGAACTCCTTCCAATTAAGCCATTTACAGAAAAGGTTGTGTGTTTCTTGGGTAAAGATTGTTACAGATTGACTTGGAACTTTCTATCATTTATTCCAATTTTTACAGAATTACTTGAAAGATTACAAAAGGCATCCAGAGCAATCTTTAAAATTATAGAAGTTTTTTTGTTTTTGTTTTTTTTATACACCCAATACAAGGACCAAGTGCCACTCAAGGTAAATGGTTATTGAATGGGGGATATATAAGGAGCAAGATGTGCATATTATGAGGACAGGTAATTGTTGAAGAGGTGGAGATTGTAGTGACCAGAGAAGTACCCCCTTGGGAGTTTGTTCCACATTGCAACATTTCTAAGAGAGAACGTGAAGGAAATGATAAACTGATTCCATGTACATGGCATGGAAGGTCCTAGATGTGAGGATCTGGGCTGGTGGAAACAAGGAATGTAGTTCACCGAAATATCTGCGAGGAAAATAACAGAAGAGCAGCAAGAGGTTACGAGCATTTTATCTGTGAGGAAAGCGGTTGTAAGGTGGAAAACAATTCATCACTCACAAGGCCGTGCAAACTCTTAAAATCAGTCACAGCTGGAAAGTGAGGATTGGGAAGCTCCAGCCCAGAAGGGGTAGTAATACTCCATTTTTGGTCTGATCTGGTTCTTGTAGAGAGCCTGGCAGCTGACCATTTTTCCAACATGTTAGATCATACATACGAGTTCCAATTGAGGTTTCGAAAAATAAAACAAATCTGCCTTCATTTTACCAGTTAAATTGATCAAACATTTTACAATTTGCTGATGCTAGTTTCAATTCTGATTTTACATGTTTATTTTCCCCTCCTTCAATTGCATGAGAAATGCAAGACATCATCACTTCATAAATGAAACCAAATCTTTTGGTATTTCTACTTTCTAGTATTTTCTTTTTCTCATAAATAAGTTAATGAATAAGTTTATTATATGAAACTGGAATGTTTGGGGTTTTTTTTGTTTTTTTTTAAAAATTCATTTCTGGTCAAAATAAACTGCTTAGTATCATTGTAAAATTTCATGTCTCAGCTCCTTGGAGAAAATTGCAAGAGGGCTTGCCTTAGTAGCAGTTGAGCCTATCAAACAGAAACTTTGTCTATTGTAGTCCAAGGAAATTATTCTCTGCATTTTGGGGAGATAAATGATTAAGACTTTATGTCCCATACATTTCACAGTCCAATATTGCAATGGCAACTTATCAGCCTAATTTGCATTTGGAAAAAAGGAAAAGGTCTTTAATCTAACATATCTCAAAAAATTCAGAATTTCCAGTATAGTATTTCTGAAGAGAATAAATGACTGTAAGAATCAGGGTATTTCTTAATGTCTGCAGTTAATACCAAGCATTTTTTTCTTTAAAGATTTATCCACATTAAGAACTTATTTATATTAGATGAGTATCTGAATCCCATTTTTGTTTAGATTAGAAGATGACCCCCCTTTTTTTTTTACCCTAATGTTCACAAAATACAAAGCTCAATGTAGAAGGTTATTGTGTTGTGTCATATAAGCATAAAAAAGGGCAAAAAGTGTAGTTCTTGGGGGGGGGCTATGCAGGAACGATAACATCTAATTCTAGACTTGAAAAGGTCAAGATTTAATTAGCAAATAAAATTTCAGAGTTCAAGCGAAGACATTAGAAGTATTGTTAAAGTTGATGTATACTTTAGAAAGAACCAGAAACCAAATCCTAAACAAGGAATAAAACCTTGACTCCTGTTTAAAAGCCAGGGAGGAGCATGAACCAGGCAAACCTATCTACTCTTATTGGGGAAAGAGATAAACAAAAAGAATAAAATTTCAGATGGAGATGTCAAAAGTTCAGAGTTGAAGAAACTGAATCCTAAACAGGAAACAAAGGATAAATCTCTACTCCTGTTCTAAAAAATGAGGTGTATAAATATTTTTAAGATTCATTTGCAACCACATAAAAACAGTGTTGATCACTCTTTGAAAACAATTAGTTCTATTGAACTCCATGACTGAAATTGCAGGGGGGGGGGGAATTTACTTTGATCAGTTATTCCTGATCAATAAACAGGTTTCTAAGAAAATATTTCCCAATAAATGTTATTTTTTCCTCTAATGCAAGCAAATGAATAAAGGGTGTTCCAATAACTTGGACCAATTTTAAACTTAATTCACATTTAAAATAGGTCCAAGTTATTGGAACACTTTTTATGAACAAAGTCAAGTCTTGTAACAAAACGTTTTGTATTTTTATCTTTTTTTTTTTTTTTTTTTATTCAAGTCGAAAAAAAAAAAAAAGGTCGAATTAAAAAAAAGTCAATTTCACTTTTGACCGGGCATCATGTTTTGCTTATAAATTTTCACTTGAGGAACCACTGTATGAATATCTACGGGTCCTTTTAGTGTAATACTTAGATCCAGATAGGTATGGATCCAGTGGTGTGTAGCAAATGAAATGGATGATATCTGCCGTTTGATGCCTTTAATTTTCAGGCTTTTGCAAGCGTCTTTCTGAATGCTTGTGAGCTTGTGTGGGCGGCCACATTGTGTTCGCATCCAGAAAAACTTGGCGGGGTCAATTGTAGGGAAAAAATACTCGGCAGGAGCCAAATAAACACCATCTTTGTCATCTGGTGAAACGTTAGCATCACGAACGTATTGTCGATAGTTCAGAGTCAAAAAGTGTGGGCCTGTGCTATCAAGGACATTCCACATATGAGAGAAGTCCGGCAAACTTTTCATCACTTTTAACATAAATGGATGATTTTTTCGGCAACCCATAATGGCATTGATGACCAAGTGTTCAAAATTGGAATCTAGGATTGGATGCTCATAAGGTTCTTGTCCAACAAAACATGAATATTTCATAATGAGAGGGTTCAGGGATTTCAAACTCTCCATATCAAGGTCTGCATAGATACCACCATATTCATAGAGGACAAAATATCTCAAAGCATCTGCCCTTCGAATATTTTCTGAATAATTATCAAATGTGTCTAAGAACCAGGGATATTTGTCAGCTATTAAATTCCGAGCACTTTCATCTGTCCAAAGCCAATATTCCCAATCAGGATGGTATTTCACCCAGGATTTGACCCAAGTAATCAATTTTATAGGCACAATTGAATTTTTCCAAGTCTGGTGTATAATTTTGGCAATCTTGACATCGCCTGAATCCGGAAACTTTTCCATTTTAACAAGGCCATATGGTTGAAAGCCTTTCTCAACAAGAATATCCAAATCATGAAAACTTCCATGTTCACGAATTTGTTCAAATTTTACAAGCCAGTGAAGTGTAAAAATAAAGAAAGTACCAAGTGTAATTGTTTTGACTGGAATTCTAGGCAGCCCTTGTGGTGTACTGCCTCGACCAACTTCCATATGGGGAGGGTCTGAAATGAAACAAAAACAAAATCTTTAATTCTGACATTAAATGACACAGGTAGACATTTTTGTGTATATTCCCACAGGATATAAATTTTTTAAAAATTTCAAATCAGACTAAAGATTTACCAAAAATAGATTGTATATTTTAATTATAGTAAACTTAACATCCAAAGGAAGGTGTATTTGCTGTATTTCCCAATCATTAAATCATTTCATAAATACCAACTAAACTTTTAATCAGACACAGGAAAATAATCAAACTTATGACACCAGTCAAAATTGGTTTGGAAGATTAACTTGCTAGCCATTTTTAAGAGAAGATAACCTGTCATTTTATAATTCTGAATGTTCCTCCATTCCCACTTCCCATACAATCTGCCAGTACCTCAGATAAATAATGAACTATTCCATTTTGATTGTAAGAAAAGACAGAAAAGATATATCAGAGATGTTTTCTGATTTTAAAGAGAAAATAAAACATAGATAATAAGAAAGAAAGGAAAGAAAGAGAAAGTGACAATGCTCTTCAAATAATCACTTGCTTTCATAAATGACATTGCAATATTCTATTAAAAGTTAAGCTCAAATAATTTTTATCTGAATTTCTGGTATGAGAAATGATCATTCTTTACACTATTTATATTTAGACTATTATCTTCACCTTTGTCATCATTATCACAATGACTGTTATGCCTTCTGGACTTCCTCAGGTGTATATTGATCTGGGTAATGTACAGAGAATTCTGAACTGAATCCTTTATTTAATCTATGGAGCTAGACCGTGTTCCACTGTCTAGGGATATCCTCTAGTTCTTCAATATCTGTCTATATTTCAGAGATGAGGTATTATGTACACAATTTACATTATTTGGACTATTGTCCTCATCTTTGTTGCCATATTTATCACAACGTTTCGGCCATTGTACGCTCCGGCTTTCTTCAGGTGGTTGAAATGTCGAACTGAACCCGTTATTCTGATTGCTGGGGTAGACTGTTCTAGTTCTACATGCCATGTCTAATGGATGTCAGTTATCTCCTGTTAATTCCCCTCTCCAATTTCTCCACTGCCTTAAATAGGTATTGAACTCACAACTCTTTGGGTCCTGTCACTCGATCTAACCGGCACCTTTATCGACTGTGCCATGTGTCCAAGCAAAATAAAAAGTTCAGTTCGACATTCCAACCACCTGAAGAAGGCCGGAGTGTACATCAACTAAAACGTGATAAATATGGCAACAAAGATGAGGACAATAGTCCAAATAATGCAAATAGTGTCCTCTAGTTCTTGTTTTATTTAGTACTCTTTAGTTATCACTAATTACACACTGCCCGACCCAGGGATTGAATTCACAACCATTATGTCACCAAATTCCCAAACTAAGCTTTTATCCACTAGGCCTAGTCAAATGATATCCCTACTGCAATTTTAAAACTTGGTACCTGCCATGAAAACTAGTAAACATTTTTATTTGTTACCTATTTGGAAGTTGAAATCCAATATGGTCACTTGGAGGTTAATTCAAGTAGATGTGTCTTTTGTCCCTGACCATATTTCATCTGTACAGGAAAAATTAAAGAAAATTTGGTAAAATTGGTAAATATTTGAACTTAACTTCAAGTTTACCACGAATGATGTTTAATTTATATACATAAATACATACATTATTTGCATGCAGACTATTATCCTCATCTTTGTTGTTATTATCCTAACATTTCAGCCATTGTGCTCGCAAGCCTTCATCAGGTGAATATCGATCCGGTGACCTACAGGGAATTTGGAACAAAACTTTTTATTTGACCTAGTAGATTACACCCGTCGATTCAATGCCTGCACCTAGAGATATCTAGTCTAGTTTTTACTCTTACTCTTCAATTTGCCCCATTACCTCGAGTCCATGTACACTGCCTGGCCCAGAGACTGAACTCACAATTATTATATAACCAAATTCATATACCAATAGCGTATTAACCAATTTGAACAAGAGCAATATCCCCAAACCCTCGGTCACGATGACTTGCAACATACATCAAGCATTAAACCTAGATGATCAAATGAATTGCATTGCGCTAAATCACAAATAACTCATTACACTAAAAGACCAAAAGAAAACTTCAAAACAAATCCAACAGGCAAACCAACAAAATGTGAACAAGATAAAATAATACCAGAAAGAATTAACTCAGAACTAAGTAAAACCTAGGAGTAAATCAGTGGAAAAACAAAAATACAACTATAGACTGGTTCTATAACCTATAAAACAAACATAATTGCTAATTTATACAGCTAGATACAAAAGATTTTTATCCTTCTATAACAGAAACCATGCTATATAAGGCCATCTCTTTAGCTCAAGAACAAACAAAAAATAAGCTCAAATGAAGTAAAACTCATTAAACACTCCCCAAAATCACTATTACTTGACAATGAAGATGTGTGGATAAAGAAAGAAGAAACCTTTGACATTACAATGGGAAGTTTTGACAGTGGAGAGACCTGTGAGCTTATAGGTATACATTTACTAATTAAGTAAAATAATCACTAAAAATAATATAGGCCTCTACAGGGATGACACTCATAATCTTAAGAAACTGTAACAGACAAAACCAAACACATTACAATAGAAAGCTTTGATGGTGCAGAGGCCTGCAAGCTTATAGGTATACATTTATTACATGAAATAAATAAAATAATCAATAAAAATATAGGGATAAATCTACAGGTATGATGGTCTCATAATTCTAAGTGTAAAAGACAAAAAAAAAAAAAAACAGACAAAACCAGAAAAATAATTATAAACATTTTCAAAGATATGGGAATCAACAGATATAAAAACTAACTTAGAAGTAGATTTCCTAGATGTAACATTCAACCTAAGAAAAAGGTACCTATGAAGCATATAGTAAACCCAATCAACAAACCCATTTACATATGCATACATCTTCCAACCACCCACCATTAATAATCAAGCAAGATTCCACAATCAATTAAATGCAAGTTAACTGATAATTCTTCCAGCAACACCAATTTTAACAAAGCCAAAAAAAGATTATGAAACAGCTCTAAAAGATAGCAGATTTTTTACAACATACACACCCTGCAGCACAAAAAAAAGCTAACAGGAAAAGAAGCATCATCTGGTTCAACTCAACATACAACAAAAATGTAAAAGCAAATGTAGGAAAAATATTTATTAAGCTTATACACAAACACTTCCCTCCACAAGATATTCAACACAAACACAGTAAAAATCAGCTACAGTCACACTGAGAACATGACAAATAATAATAAAGCAAAACAGAAAAACAACCAAAAAACCACCTGTACAAATCAAACCCATGTATAACTGCAGAATAAAGAAAGAATGTCCCTTAGATGGCAATTACTTGCAAAACAATGCAATATGCCAGGCCACTGTAAAATCAGAAAGAAAAAATATACATAGGAGTAAATGAGGTAACCTGAAAACAGAAACTACATACACATGAAATGACAAATTTTTTGGTTGTTGATCCAGTCGTTTAACAAAGTAACCTCCTTAGTATATAAAAATATCTTGACTTATTCCTGACTCTTTTTCTTTCCAAATAATTTTTTCAATATAATTTTTAATATTTTCAATATAAAGAATAAGCCCATTGAAATGATTACAATGAAACAATGTTGAGTACAAACTGGGTCATTCTGCCGCAAACATTTCAGAATATCAAGGCAGCCTTTGATAATGGTATTGTTGAAATCAGGACTGTACAGAGATGGTTTCAGAAGTTCTGTTCAGGAGATTATAGTCTTGAAAATAAACCAAGGAGAAGACCACGATCGGTTATCAGATATGAGGAAATGAATGCTTTGGATGATCAAAATCCAAGAACTACAGTCCGAAAACTTGCATCAGAACTCAAAACATCTCACACAACTATTTCTCAGCACTTGAAAGCAATTGGAAAAGTAAAGAAACTGGATAGGTTTGTTTCACATGAACTGAATGAGAGTCACAAACACTTGCTTTGTGGTGTGCTCTCTGTTGCTTTTCCAACTGGAAAAAGAACTATTTTTGCATTGAATCATTACATGCAATGAGAAATGGATACTCTTTGATAACAGTAAGAGAGTAAGCCAGTGGTTAGATGCAAGTGTATCACCCAAACAATACCTAAAATCTCTACTGCACCCTAAAAAGTTAATGGTTACTGAATGGTGGTCTTTCAAAGGGGTTATTCATTACTCATTCTTGCCTCAAGGAAATCGTATTGTGAAGAAATTGAGTGTATGCATGAAAAACTGAAAAAGAAACATCTTAGATTTGTGAATAAGGATGGACCAATTTTGCTGCCTGACAACACACAGTCACATGCTTCTTAATCAACTGTCAAAAAGCTGCATAGCCTGAATTATGAAATTTTGCCTCATCCTCCATATTCACCTTATTTAAGCATTTTGAGCTTTTCATATGCAATAAAACATTCTTCAATAAGGAAAATGTAATCAAAGTATTTGAATTGTTTATTGCATCAAAGGATTAGAATTTTTTTAAAGATGGTGCCAAGAATTTAGAGCTACATTGGAGAACAGTCATACATCAATATGGTGCCTATTTGAATTAAATAAATTAGTTATTTAACATTTTAGAAGCATTTTATTAATTTCCAACAAAGTGCATCATTTCATGTGTGACAATGTAATAAATACATCAACAGCATGATGCTTTCTACACCAAAAACTAAAATTATCATAAAATCATACAAAAAAAAAAAAAAATTTGAAATTTAAACAATTATTATTCTTTTATTCCAGTAACCATGCTTTTTTATGTTTACACCTGTTAAGGATTTCTGATCTTCGGTTAAGTAACATATTAGGTTTACTAAATGTAGGTATGGCTAGTTTCTCCTCCATGCATCGTAGGCAATATCTATTGCTGGCTTTATATCTACATTTTTTTTTTATTATTTCCCACTTTTTATATTCCATATGTGGTTAGATAAGCTAGATTTCATGCTTGAAACT